ATGTACTTAAAAATATACTTTTGATTATTAGTTTTATAATAATAAATCCGAAATATATAATTAAATTGAGATCTGTTTTTTTAAGCTGATAGAAATACACACATGGTAATTTTTCATTATTCTCATACGACATCAATAGATGCTTCCCATAATACAAATAAGGTCTTATATATTGTACAATAGAGTATACATATTGTACAATAGAATAAATAGAGCGTGTCAGATGCACTCGACAGCGGAGCGATATACTGATACACTCGTACTCCGCCGTCAGTTATGTTCCACTTTAATGTTTTTTTTTATAAAATCATTACTTATTTCCAAAAAACAGCAATATTCATAAAATTAATACTTGATTGAAAGACAAACTTGCTTTTCCTAAGTATCGTTTAGAAAATAGTTAATGGGTCTTTTATGAAAATGGGTATAAAAATTTACAGTAAGATACATAACGATATATTGGAATTACCATTAAATAAAAACATCTATTAATTTATATGTACTGAGAAAAGCCTACGAATCTTTAAACGATTACTTGAATGGTGAGCGTGCATGGCAATAGTTGTTTATGCACGAGATTTTCATATAGACTACTACAGAAGTAGACAATGTAAGAAATCAATCTTTTTTAAAAAATAAATGAATTTGAGTTTCTTGTCAGTTCTGCTCAATGGAATCTGGAATGGTAGGAAAAACATATAATAAAAAAAAATACATTTATAAGCGCTAAAATGTCCTACATGAATAAATGATTGTTGATTTTATTTATATAATCTACTGGAAATAGAATAGAATCTGACCACAAACCTCTTAGAAAGTAGTAAGAGTCAGCTTATATGTACGTGAACAGCGTCACAGATATTTCGAAATATATTTAGATACCCGTGGTACCCCTCATACGCCCCTTGACATATAACTAAAGTGTTATTTTAGCCATTCCCTCTCTCTCCTCCTATTCTCCTCCTCTTACGAGAACAGGCAGGAATATTGCTCCCGACGCCCTTAGACTAAAGTTGAATCTATTGGGCAGGGAGTTGGGCTTTACCAGCTTCATAAGTCATTCCAGGTTTAGAATGCCGTCTGCACTCGCCTTCATAGTCGTCCGATTAAACTGTAAAGGCCAGCTACGGTCAACAGCATTATAAGAGTTCGAGCAAAAGGTAGTCATAGGTTATACCATGTTAACTTCCAAAAAGCTTTGTACAAAGTGTCCCGCAGATTTTCTTAGTGTTTTTCTGAATACGTAATTGTTTTATATCATATCTTTCAAGGGTATATCCGATCTCAGTTCTCTAGATATTATATACGGAAACTGCTTCGTAGAGTAATGCAATGAATGCGGTAATTGCCAACTATCGAAGCAAGGAACTATCGCATATTCTCCAACAAGTTGCAATCTCATCAGCGGTTGAAATAATAGGGTTGTCAGCGTTTATCATCAGTTATTATTATATATTATGTAGCTTTATCGATTTAATGTAACATATGCGGTCACAAGTAGTTTACCATAGCTTCACTCGCTGTTGTCGCCTGTTATTTTTCATAGAACTAAAAAATAGGATCTTATAAAATGTTCATGGTATAAAGTAATATATGTAATTGTAAACTTCAAGTTTCTAACCTCTGTGGTCTGTCTGTCTGAGTAGGCTGTGCATTCATACGTCAATCAGTTAGGAGTATGTATACACATAGTACATATTATTATGTTGCATCCATTCAGTCACAGCAGGTTTTTTTTTTGTGGATGATAATGAAATGGTGCACCCGCCTGCGCTAACGGTTTACACTGGCGGGGCACCAGTGGAAGATGATAAGATGAATATGATGTCAGCTCAGTTAGCCCATCGTGACAAATTCACTAGGAACTTATCACGGTGGTTTCCAGGAGGAAACTAGGTCGACCTAACATGGTATATTGCTAGCAATGGGGATTACTAGTTCTCATTACTAACAATCACCTTCCACCCAGTCACAGCAGGTTATTATAGGCCTATCCCATCTGTCTATGTACACTATACATATTCACATAATATACCTTTTTGACTTAGGTTAAAAAAACTCGGCTTAAGGTAAAAATACCTATATCTGACAAAATCTATTGACATATTATATGTACATGAAATAAAAAAAGTATTTAATAAAAACAATATTGATATTAATTTATTTATAAAAAAGTATAGTTTTTATTATGTATAATAAAAATATATTATTATTCTAGTTATAAATATATGGAAGCTAGTGATGTCATTTTGTGTACCTATATTTTAACAAGTAATAAAAACTAAGGTTGTGGTCATGATAATAAATACATATTAGAATGCTAACCTTACTCAATTACAGCTTATTCAAGTCAATTCTGTTTATGATAAATGCATTACACATTTCCAGTTGTGACAACCCTACTTTAATGCTATTAATACGCTTTTTGAGTACATTCGCGTCTCACTGCACTTCCTTGTACATCGTATCACTCATTGGTACGACACGTCCGATTTAATTACAACTCTCGGAAAGTAGAGAGACATGTACGCCGCCGGTGTCAGTTAATAGTATCGAATATTCTCGAAATTATCTTTCATAGTCACGTGCGATCACATTTTAGTACTTTGTCATTATATTATTGATAATTTCATAATTATAAGATGCGGTAATACTTGTGATCGAAAGAGATAGAGGTGGTATGTATGTTTGACAAGGTACTCTAATATGTTACACTGTATGTTAACTATATAATATATGTATATATATATATATATATATATATATTTATAAATTTTATATAATATAACAATAACACAGAGTAATATAATATAAAGCAGGTGTGGTCATAAGTGAATAATATATTAACCCAGGACAATTGATACATTTTTTTATAAATACATAGACAACACTCAGACCAATACAATTCAAATGTTTGTATCGTACGAGGAATGGAATCACCGACCATAGCAAGTAAGGCGGTCTGCTAAACCGCTAGACCACCGAGCCCGTCAAATTAATGATACTAGGCGTGGTAGTTACCATAATTTTAACTTGGTGGCTAAGCGCTGTATAACTAACAAGTCAACATACCATAATAGTTGATTATTTCTGACATTACGATACTTCAATTTCCCGCCAATAACACGCGACCATAGACACGCACCGATGACTATCTCGATCATAAACATTAGCCATCGCATTTAGGGTTGTCACCCGATTATATATTTCCTTTTTGTATTCGTACATTTGCTGTACATACTCTTGCTATATGCAGATTATTAATAAACAATAAATGCAGATTAGTAATTTAAAACCAAACATTTTATGCATTGGAAATTTTTTGTTGTTGTATTAAAATCACAAGAAATAATTATTCAATCCTCTAAGATAATGTCATAGATATTTTATAAGTACAATAATAAATATAATATGATTAATTCACTTCAAACAAAAATATATTTATTTATTCTTTATTGCACACACATTGGCATTCAAATAATAACAAGTAATGACAAAATATTATATTTCATCTCTTAAATCTTCTTCTAGTATCTCACTGCAAGTAATTTACTATTTTGTCAGCCCTAACAGCCCTAACAATTTCTAAAACATGAAGATTTTCTCTATGCTATTCTGATTTCGCTACCGCCAACCAATATCGTGTTATTGTGTAAATATAATAGAAAACAATACAATTTAATGACATAATCGTTCTTGAAGAAAGTTACAATTAGTTTAATTAAACAAACTCTCTCTCCCCTAGCTATGTATCCCACATTGTTCTATTTTCCATATTTTTCTTCGCCTCTTATCCTGTTTCTACCCTTCTAAAATAATTAATTTTAATACTAGCTGCCCTGCGCAATTTCGTCTACGTCATATTAAAAAAAACAGCTGCAGTCCTATTGGTCATAGCCTGATGATATGTAGATAATATTTAGTCCTCATCGATAAATCGGCTAACCAATACTGATATAAATTTCAAAATTGGTTCAGTACATCCAGCGATTATTCGCCTGATCCTGAACCTCAACCTTTATAATATTAATCTATATTTAACATGTTGGCAGTCCATACAAATGTTTTCTACAAACGACCTATAAAATAAATAGATCTAGTATAATATAGTAGTAATATTTTTATATTACTACTTTACCATAGATAGATTTTGTATAATTCTGCATAAATTGTATGACGTGCATACATTAATATCGCCTATTTCTGCAGTAAAAAATAAGTAACAAAAGTTTCTTACAAAGTAAGCTATGTTCTAGTTTAAATCGTGAGATATGGCATGACACCTTAGTCCTAAAACGCGTGAGGCGCGAGGGGCGTCACATGATTGCGTGTATATAAGTGATGTTAATGAATATAAGTGACGATTGTCACTTTTCTTAAAGGCCAAAAGCTTCTTTGCCAGTTACATTAAAAAAAACAACTATGGTTATAACGACAGTGAAGTAGATATCTCGCGATTCACACAATTTTGTGAGCCATTAGTATAATCAACTGCTCATTGTGAACTCACCGCGATCTATATCAACTTTCTTTGACTTAAAGTAACCGTTTATCCCATGAAGATGTCTATTTCTACAAATTGCGACCTCGTCGGCCTCGGTGTCACGCGGTTTAACACATCGCCTTACTTCCGATGGTTGCGACTTCGATTCTATATAGACAAGCTAATTCAGCGCCGACTGATTTGTCCTGGGTTGATATTAAAAACATATAGATATTATATAAATGTAAAGATTTATTAATTATATATTAATTACTATTATATTTGTTAAACATTTCATGCCAGTCATTAATATACTAATGGCATAAATGACATACAAACATTGATTTTTAATATGAGTCTAATTTAAAATTCTTAACTATCCGTTATTTATGACTCCAATATGCATATATTGTATTATGATCCAATAGTTTATAATGTAATCTAATTACGGGGTATAACAGTTTCCAAAAACTTTTTATTTTAAATCTGTATTTATAATATCTGTTTTTGTCTACAGGAGGAATTGGAGTCACTTCGAAGCAAGCTAGAAAAGGTAGAAGGCGAACGAACACACTTCAAAAACGAAACCGAAAAACTAGAAACTAAGGTAAGTGAACTTTTAAAATGTATGCATATTGATTAAGTAGTAAATAATTAATTCGAACAGTGATTGATGTAACATGGTCCAACACGAAGCTAAGACTTGTTTTATTAAGTACTTACTAGCTGTTGCACGTGACTTCGTTTGGTTTGTTTTGGATAAAAGAAAGAATATGCCCTATGATCCTCGGAATAATGAAGTAAATAAATTCTACTTGAATTTTCAGTAATTTATTACTAGTTTAGATTCAGGGCACACTTAGAGCTAAGTAACACTTAGTTTATAGTTGGCCAATAACTCCTACGTAACGACAACAACAACCTTAACTGTAAAATTCATGTAGTACAGCATAACATGAAAAAAACACTTGTATGATGAACGTTTCAGAATCAAGTAAGCTTATAGAGTATATAGAGTAGTTATGTAGAGAGTTCATATATTTGTTTACATAGTATAAAATAAAATCGCTTCCGATGTCTGTTCGTTAAGATCTTTTAAACTACGCAACATATTTTAATGCAGACTTTAGCAGTAGATAGAGTGATTGAAGAGGAAGGTTTATATGTATAATACATGTAAATACTTGCCAAACGGGGGGAGCGGGGGGGGGGGGGGGGGGTAGCTAGTAAATAATACATAGTAAAAAACGTTATCCCTATGTAATAAAATATATGCTTTTATATCACATAAAAAACTTATATTATACTATAGTATAAACTACATCGTATTTTATTTAATAAAAGCCCGTACGATGTTGCCTAAATTAACAAACTTTTCTTATTGCTGGATCGGCAAACAAAACAAAACAACGCCTACTTGTTTCATTTGTATGTCATCTGCGTAAACTGACAGACGTTTCGTGGAAGAGCTCCGACTCTCACATTCACATGTCAACTGTCTACCGCATCCCGGTGTCAGTTTTTAAACAATGCTTCGAAATTTTCAGCTGGTTTCAACATCAATAATGATCTGTTGCAATCGATGGGATTCACTTTTAAGTATAATAGGTATAGGTATCGCACTGAATATCATTTTAAATTTAGAATATTTTTTTGCTAAGTATAATAGGTACATCGCGCTAAATATAATTTCAAATTTGGAATAGATTTTTTACTTGTAACTCAAGTAACTGTTTTATTTTGTTAGAACACAAATCTCTTATAAATATTTGTGCGTGTAAAGTATTCGTGATGTATTCACATAATATTATTATTACGATTACATTATATTGTTGTTTTTTATTATATTGTTTTTTTTTTCGGACTACTTTAATATTGTTGGCCGCAGCTAGCCTTTTACAGCTACACCGGACGATAGAGGGCGAGTGTCAATGGCACTCCAAACCCGCCGAAGACTTATGGAGTGGCTGAAGGCCAACTTCCGCCTGACGGATACAACTTTAGTCTATGGACACCGCTAGGGGTTCGAACCTCGGCTGTGGTAGTCGTAATTTCGTTCATGGGGTCATGTGGATACACAGTTGTACAACATTTGTTTAAAAGAGCAATAGGATAGTTAGTTATTCTTCTTGGCCGAATCTACATTCCGAATGATCAGTAGAATCCATGAATGACTATGCAATAGTGCAGATATTAAATTTATTTGAATAAAGATAATTTATATTTATACATGTATATATTTCTTAATGTATTATTAGTAGACAAGTATTCTAAACAAACACAGGTTTTTAGGTGATTGGCCGCATTAGCATTTCTCATAAATGCCTAGTTGCTGTCTGCATATATTTATTTAAAACCATAATTTCATCATTTTGTGTTTGTTACAAACAACATATATAACAATATATACATTTATATATATTACATACAGATTTATACATACTTTACATTTTATTGTAATAATATAATATGGTTTTATTAAATATATATATGATTATTGTAACATGCTAAAACTTAGTAGGAATACGCTATTTCAATCATGTAATTAGTTTTTGCGTCGATATTACGTATTTAATTATAATATATATATATATATATATATATATATTTCAAAACATATCACACGAAAGGATGTTGTACTTATGTACTTACATACAGCTTTTGATGTAGGTACACAATACCGAATTATATTAAAAACACGTATGATTATATAAACAATGTATGTATCTGTAAATAAACTTTCGATTTTTCATATAGGGCTCACTGTCAGATGTATGCCATCTATTCGATGTGATTTCGGTGTGATCTCGATTAAATTAAAAAGTCAGCATACTAGTCTTATAAAAAAAACGCGAGATCTCATTTTTGTGATCGAGTTTATGTAAATACAGAACGTTCAGATGTCATGCAGAATTTGATACTGTTATTTATACACAAAATTATAACTAAAAGAAAATAACCAACTATCTTTTGACGGCCTCGGTGATCTAGCGGTGGTATACCGTTTTACATCCGATTGTCGCGGGTTCGATTCCTCGCACGGTGCAAATATTCGTATTCATGTGTTGTTTGTATCGGTCTGGTTGTTTTCTATGTATATTATGAATGTATTTATAAAAAAAATCTATGTATTAATATCAGCTGTCTAGTACCCATAACACAAGCTCTGCTTAGCTTGAGACTAGGTGGCGCTGTGTGAATTATCCAGGTTGTTATAACTATCATTCGATTCGTGACAGTCGATTTATATGTAATCGAATTGACTTTAAATCAATGTGAACATTCGAAACAATGGTTTGCAATAATTTAGTTACTTATTCTATGCTCATTCTTAAGGAACGACCCACCTACAATCGAGTTCTATACTAACTCTCCTTGAACTGAAGGATTCTGAAGTTCAGTCACTGTTACAGTGTTACCTTAGCTTTGTCGTAGTACGGACCTTATAAAAAACATAGCAATTTGCCTAGACTACGCACGGATGAAATCTTTTCGTTGTTCTCAAATTTAAAAAAATCCATATTTAACTTTTTATAGATGAAAATACTTTTCTATTTGTAGAAATATATTTTTAGTATAAACATTGCAAATAAAAATATCTAATTTTATTTTATAAAAGCAGTTCATTTAAAAAAAAAAATTAAAAACATTATGGCATTAATCCAAACGCCGATGTTTATGATAACAACATTGCTGATATATGAAGACAATATAATGAAATAAGCAATATTATATTTAGATCAAAATCAAGCATGTTGTACGTAAGTACGTAATAAATATTTTTTACTGACGTTACTTATTTTATCAATGTAATTCTATTTAGACTATATAAACAGTGTTAACAATTTAGAGAGCATCATGGCCTAGTAGTTTACTACCCAGACTTGAACTCAAAAGTCCTTGAGTTCGAATCTGGACTCCAAACAAAATTAAATTTAAATTTAAATTATTTCTCAATTTATATCTATAATCACTCTACAATGACAGAAACATCGAAATCAATAAAAAATAAAGATCTATTTCTATCTACCGACCTATATATATCCTTTAGAATTTAGATGGCTAGTAGTAGGCGAACTACTATCACTTTGAATTCAAGTACTCGTATACCCAACGAAATACATACTTTAATTCAAATTCAATTTTACGTTCAACAGGAGGGCAACAGTTGACAATACCTCTGCCTACCCCATCTAGAATATCAGTCGTGACGGTATAGGCTATATATTCTATTCATATTTTTTTTATGTCACTGCGACGCTTTTTCTTTATAAAAATTCTTATAAAAAAAACGACATTCCTAACGTCAAGTACCTACGCTTTACGCATGCCTGACCTAGAGTTAAAAAAAGCTGTAGATAATTCATTTCGTCGCACGCGGTTCCTTGACCGAGGTAAAAAATATTTGACGCTCTTTATTTACGTAATCACGTTTACACGCCTCCTATTATTTTTCTTATTAAATGAGTCATTTTCCGCTCGTTTTAACTTTCTCTTAATAAATGTTAGTACTTCAATTAAAATAGCACAAAATCATAATATTTTTGTATTACGAACAAGCTATTTTCCAAGAATATTCAGTTCTTATAAAATAAGTTCTATAATTCTTTCTTATTTCTGATAAGAATACGATTACAGTTAAATCAATATTCCAAATTTCTAAATTAGTAGTTTTTGGCTGTACGTTGCTAGTCAATCAGCACAAACTATTTTGTAAATATAGAGATAATATCTTAAACCAAATATGGAAGTAAATCAGTTTTATTTTATACATATGTTTGAAATTACATTACCATGAAAAAATCTCTAAATATTAAACAATCAATATTTTTTTTATTATACCAACAGAATATTTTACTACATCAACAAAAATTTTGGTTCAATAACAAGCCGATAAAATTAAAATTATTCTTAAAAAATATCTTCATAAAACTAGATTTTGTAGGTCAGTGTATCATCGATGTAATGAGACTTCAATTTTTGATTACAAATAAAAATAGCGTTACCCAACTTTTCAGTTGTGTGGGTCGCTTTATATCTGCGCTACTATTTTAATAAAATTATTGTTAGTACTAAAATAATAATTAACTTATAAATTAAGTTTTTATGTTGCACCTTGGCGCCTTTGCGTTTCATCCTGCCGCTGTGGTTTAGCAATACATGTACTTGTGTAATATTGGGCAAGTAGAAGGAATAAACTAAAGTTATAATAAAACTAAAATAATATATCTTTTCACGATGTAATCAATATATTGAGCTAGCGGTGACACGCGACTTAGTCTGTTTTTAGAGATAAAAGTTAACCAAAGTAATACAATCTATATTCACGCTCAATTTTATTAAATTATGTTCAGCCGTCAGTAAACACATACACTCACAGTTATAGTATCAGTATAGATTCAAATAATCAGAATACATATTCGTGGATCGTACATTTTTACTTAATATAAGCAGTTTTGAATATTCACATTTCTTTGATCCTACCACTCATTCGGAACACAGACTCATCACAAGAAAAACTAGTAAGAAACTTGCGTGTTGCTCTTTTACCGCTACGCACTTAATCTTTGTGCAATCCGATAATATTGTCAACGCTATTAATTTTAA